ATTGGGTCGCGCGTTAGTTTGACCCATTGCAAACACACACACTCTGTGTGTGTGGCGTGTCAAAGGTTCCGATACCTTAGTGGAGGTACTGAGTACTTTAGTGAATGGTAGTCAGTAGGCGCCTCGTGGCGTGTTTAACATCACTAATGTCAATGTGTATATTTGCTGCCTTGACGAAGGTCCCGTGGCCGAAAGCCAAGAGGAAGCGGGAGACAAAACACAGTCCCGTGCGCTCGCTTGCTCATTTGAAGTTGGAGGGTGACGAGGTTGACCTCGGACGCGCTCTCGTAGATGGCATTGAGAGATTCTCATGTCTCGTGGGTCGTGGCCGTATCCTTGACGAATTTGAGATGGCCCGCGCGTATGCTTAGTTGAATGTAGGATAAAGCAACTAAGTCGTCTTCTTCATACGACCCATTCGGGTATGTTCCGTCCGCTGAGCGGACCTACTTGAGGAACTTGTCCAGCTTTTGCTGGTTGATCTTGGCGCGCGTCTTGTTGCACCATTCACGGTAGTTGCTACCGTCGGGCTTGAGCCGGCTCGTCGGAGAGGTACTTGTTGGCCATTGGGCTCATAACCTGTAAGTAACCGAAAATTGGTTGACAATAGTCCTACGCTTCACCGCACCGATGACCACGGCCGGTACACCAATGACGAACAAATATCTACCGTCACGACCACTACACCTACAAACACAGCGGTTGCATCGGTGGCCACGACATCAACATTATAAGGTCGTGGTCACTGAAACAGCCGTTTTCTGGCCATGATTGAGATGTCAATCACCACTACTGATGTCCCTGGCCCCACAACCGCTGCGATTCCCCACGACTGCTGCATCTGTGACAACACCTCGTAGTCACCGGTGGATCAGTCATGGGATAGTTGCAGCGGTGAAGGTGACCGAGTAATCCATAGTGGCAAAAGGACTGTTTCTGCCTGGTGTAGATTTTTTTCACGTGGTTTTTGGCGTACATGCACGTTGTTATATTTACTGTTAAGTGGTGTATTTGCACGTATTTCAATCTACATGCGCCAATTTGGACGGTTTGCACGTCTTCCGGAGGCCGAATTAATAGTGGTCGAAGGCATCCAGAGTATCGGGAAATTAATAGTGGTCGAAGGCATCCAGGGTGAAGAATGACACCTCAGTTTGTAAATTGCAAACTGAGGTGTCATTTTTCTGGTCTATTCACAGTCCACGAGACCATCGAGGACGCTTTTTGGGTTTTTATTTGAGTTTCTATGAATAAATGAATGAAATCTTGTATTCTTGTGCAGAATTTTGATGCGAATCCGACAATTATACTGTCACAGAATCATCCATCCACGCGTGCTCTGGTAAAAAAACATTTCACTTTGCCCCAAAAAGTATCCTCAAAATACATAACCCTGTGTATTTTATCCGGATACGTTATATATTAAACGATATACATTTGACTAGTATTCTTCTAATATCGCTCAAAATAAAACCAGTTACAATTGATAGCTATTATGAAAGCGTCCTCGATGGTCTCGAGGACTGTCAAGTCTATTCATTTCATCCAAGAAAATGCGCCAAAAATGCACGTCCTTCTACGACGAATGGCGACCTGCTGCACATATTATAATGGTGACTGTATTTTGACATTTACTGTCACTGTATTTTACTTTTGCGCAACCCCAACGGTAATACGGTATAAAATCTGCATAGCTGTCACTTCCGGATATGGAGGCTTGCCGCTCAACCTATGCCATCGACACATGGACGAGGGCACTTATCGGTTTTACCCCCCGCAGGACTATATACCATATATAGATTCAAGTTAAACGAGTTTTATAAAAAATTAGTGAGCGAGCAAGTCTTTTTGGTGTAGGACGAGCACTATAAGCATTTGTGGCCACCAGAAAATCCGGATAAAGTAATGGTTAACCGGATTACTTTACTCACGTCCATGAATTCACTGGAACTTCATTTCCAGAATGTCGTCGCAGCGAGAGAACTACCTTTGCAAGTGGCTCTGCCGCATTGACAACGGCATTGAGTGCGACAAAGCGTATCTTCACTCCAACGATGGATTCAAAGTCCATGTGCAAGCCGTGCACAAGTTGGAGTGGCCTCGCAAGGGCCGCACTCTATACGGCACGATGATCCCGGCGCCGCCTCTTGTAGTCACAGCAACAGCGCCAGCCTCGACGCCCACTGAGCCTGAAGTGTCGTTACAGTCGGATATCGAACTAGTGAAACTAGTAGAACGGAGTAAGTCTGGTGGAAAGGCCGTACTACTCGTTCTTATTCGTTTAGCGCGTCAACAAGGTATGGACTGTACGGATCTGATTCGCGCCCTTTTGCACGAATCACCCGGACTTTCTGAAGTAGAAGAATCCAACCTAGTTGAACCGGCTCGTCCAACCCCGCGCAACCGCCGAGTAGCCAAGAGTGCTAAAAAGTAAGAAACTGCACTTTTGTGTTGAGTTTTATGCGTTGAGATTATGTAACTATTTGTATAGTAAGGGCATAGATAACATTGTCCAAATAGGCTATATAGCCACGACATAGTCTATATCACGACTATTTCGTGCGTATATAGGCTATGTCGTGACGATATAGACTATACAGAAACTATATAGTCTATACATACTCGACATATAGCCTATATACGTATTATATAGACTATATATGTATTATATAGACTATATATGTATTATATAGACTATATATGTATTATATAGACTATATATGTATTATATAGACTATATATGTATTATATAGACTACATATGTATTATATAGACTACATATGCATTATATAGACTACATATGTGTGATACAGACTACATATGTATTATATAGACTGTATAATACGTATATAGTCTATATGTAGAGTATATTCAGCACTATATAGACACTATATGCACTATATAGACTACATTACCTACACCGCCAATGCACTGTACAGACTATGTGGACATATACAAAATTCAGTACTTCTCTAACGTA